GGGAAGAGGGCATGAGGGGGGAGGACTGGGCTCAGTTGGTGGGAGGAGGGCATGAGGGGGGAGGACTAGGTTCAGTTGGTGGGAAGAGGGCATGAGGGGGGAGGACTGGGCTCAGTTGGTGGGAAGAGGGCATGAGAACCAACCAAGCTAAAGAGACATAGAAAAAAGACAGGAAACAATCACTATTTCAGTGATAGAATCAATCTTTTAAATTTTCTTTTTAGAGACTTTTACAAATTCCAACTCATAGATATTTTTATAGTAAAAAAGATGATTTTTACAAGAAAATGCATTTTCTTTTTCTGGCAAAATCATAGGAACTCTTCACATACTGTAAGCAAGTATCAGGCTAGGCTCATGATCTGGTTATTCCTACTCAGGGTGTGGGTAAAGAGAGCCAACACTTGGAAAGAGCTCGATCCCAGAGGCAGGGCCAGTGGGCTCGGATTTCCCATGTGACTGTAGACCTGTGTGAGGCAGAAGGTATTCCCCATGAAGAACGCTACCTCCTCAAAACAACTGACTTAGGTACAATGTTTACGTGTCCAAAGATGTATCTTGGCATGGAGGATGTAGTTCAGCTGACTCTGCTGGTTTAACACGCTCGAAGCCTTGGGTGTGATCTTCAAAGATTGCAAAAATTGGCAGGATGGCTCTTCTGTAAAATCATCTTCAGCTACATAATGTACATGACATCCTATCTTTAAAAAGAAGACGGTGGATATCCATGGGAGAGCTCCCCTTCTCTGAGAAGAAAGGGGAGGGGAGAGGGCTGAGGAGAGGGAGGGACTGGGAGGATAAGAGGGAGAAGCTTCAATCAGGATGTAAAAGTTAATTAATTAATTAATTAATAAAAATTAATCATTAATCAACACTAAATAAACTTTGTCCTCTGATGAACTTATAAGGAAGAAGGAGGAAGAGGAGGAAGGGGAGGAGGAGGAGGAGGAGGAGGAGGAGGAGGAGGAGGGTGGCTGGAGAGATGGCTCAGCAGTTAAGAGCACTGACTGCTCTTCCAGAGATCATGAGTTCAAATCCTAGCAACCACATGGTGGCTCACAACCAACTGTAATGAGATCTGATGCCTTCATATGAGCAAGCAAGGCCCGGAGCAAGCGAGGCTGGAGCAAAAGGGAGAAGGGGAAGGGGAAAAAAGAGAACGTGGAGGAGGAGGAAGAATGAGAGAGAGAGAGAAGAAAAGAAAAGAAAGAAGAAAAGTTGTATCCCAACATGTACTTCTGTAATCTCCACACTCCAGAGGCTAAGATAGGAAAATTGCAAATTCAAGGCTGTATTCTCCAATAGGGACTAGGTAAGGTCACTGGGAAAAACCCCAGTGTCAGGAGCCCACTTTCTTCACATTCTTTGATACTGTGTCTGACCACCTGGCACAGGGCCCCCTCTGTGCCAGGACAGGGGCAGGGATGCCCCTATGAAAAGTGACTGGTAGCTTATAGCTGCATTTAGTAGAATAAAAGATGGGGCATCCAAGGACATGGGGACCCCAAGAAGTGGGAACAATGCCTTACCTACAGCTTAGCAGAGGAGGACTCAAACTCTAGCAGTCGCTTGATGTCATTTGGGAATGTCATCCAGCCGCCACCATCAACCACCAGCACAATCCCTGAGATATAGGAAGCCAGAGGGCTAGCTAGGTACAGCACTCCGTGGGCGATCTCTGTCTTGGTTCCGAGTCTTGGAATAGGACTTGAATTTAATTTCGAACTGGCGTTAGGGCCTCCTGGAAAGCAATAGGAATCAGACCCCAGTAAACCCCTACAGCACAGTGTCTGCTGCTCTCTCCCTGACCCAGATCTGGAAACAGTGGTTGATCTACCAAAGCCAACAGCACATGAGGCAAAGTGATGCCCTTTGGACATTGGAGACTCTCAGAGTAGGCCAAGTTAGACAGAGTAGGAGGTTAAACATTTAGATAGCTTCTTGACTTGAATAAGATTATTGTTGTTATTGTATTTGTTTTTGAGACAGGGTTTCTCTGTTTAGGCCTGGCTGTCCTCAAATTCACTCATGCTATAGACCAGTCTGGCCTCAAATTTCTAGAGATCTGCCTGCCTGTGCCTCTCAAGTGCTGGGATGAATGGCCTGTGCAACCACCGCCCAGCAAGACAGAATTTTTAGGTCCTGCTACAATTCTAGAAGCTTTAATGTGTGTCTTAAACGCCCAGAGGGACTTACCTAATCGCCGCATCCCCTCAGTGCCACTGATGGCACCAGGAGCTAGGCTGTTGACACGGATATTCTGATGACCCCATTCCACAGCCAAGTGTCGTGTCATAGCATCTGCGTGAGAGAATGCATATGGAAGTGGAAATTGTGAGGCTGTTCTGCTCTGGGGTAGCCCAAGTGCCAGTGTGAGCTCTATAGTGTCCACAGCTAGGATCAAGTTCATGTGGAGACTCTCAGCCTCTAGGGAGAGTCAACGGAGGCAGTCCACAGGGCACACATACCCACAGCTGCCTTGGCAGCGCCCGCATGTAGCTGCAGCACCTGACCCCGCATACTGAGGGTGGCAGTGATGTTCACAATCACTCCTCCATGGTCCTGAAATGTATAAGGAATGGCAATGAGCAGGTAGCCAACAGGAGGAAAGGCCCTCCCGCCAGGAGGATACACACCCGGAAGAACTTCTCGTAAAGCACACGAGACACATTGAAGGTGCCAATGGTGTCAATGTCGACCACAGTCTTAAAGGCGTTGAAAGACAAAGCACTGGCAGGGCACAGGAAGTTTCCAGCTGCACCTAGAGAACAGAAGGAGAAAGCTGGTGGCCTGTGGCTCTGAGAATACAGGGCTCTAACAGGCTAAGCCCTGTCAAGAGTATTAAAAGGAGCCTGAGGGCAGTGAGAGTATGGAGACCCTTAAAGTGGTCTAAGCTAGACAAGACAGGACACCACGCACTCAAAGGACTTCTTGGGCAACAAACACAGAATAGAAGACTATATGCCAGGAAGAGGAGTCCTAAGACTAAGTATGAAGGCAGCACTTGGGGGCAGAGGCAAAAAGATCAGAAGTTCAATGTCATTCTCATGGACATAGTAAGTATGACCCTAGCCTGGACTATAGGAGATTCTATCTCACAAAAATAGGGAGATGGATAGATAGATAGATAGATAGATAGATAGATAGACAGATAAATAGATAGACAGATAAATAGATAGACAGATAAATAGATAGGTAGATGACAGTTTATTGGTTTGTTTGTTGGTTGGTTGGTATTTTGTTGTTGTTCTGTGTTGTGAATGTGACCTTATTTGAATATAGAGCCTTTAGCCAGGCATGGTGGCACATACCTTTATTCCCAGGAAGCAGAGACAGGTAGATTTCTTTTCTTTTTTCTTTTATTTTCTTTTTTTATTTTGGTTTTTCGAGACAGGGTTTCTCCGTGTAGCCCTGGATGTCCTGGAACTCACTCTGTAGACCAGGCTGGCCTCGAACTCAGAAATCCGCCTGCCTCTGCCTCCCAAGTGCTGGGATGTGCGCCACCACTGCCTGAGGCAGAGTTCTCTAAGTTCAATGCCAGCTTGATCTACCAAGTGAGTTCCAGAACATTCAGGGCTACCCAGAGAATCCCTGTCTCAAAAAACAAACAAACAAAAACCCTACAAAGCAGGAAATAGAATGTTTATCATCAAGTTGAGATGATGCTGAATTAGGGTAATGCACTAACTGATTTTAAGATGTAAAGGGAACTAGGGTTTTGCTTACTTGCCTAGCATGTACAACGTTGTGGGTTCAACCATCAGGGTAGAAAGAGAATATGTAAAGACACAAAGACACAGAAGAGTCACATGAAGATGGAGTCAGAAATCGGGGAGACACAGCCACAAGCTACGGGGCACTAAGAATTGGTACAGCTCTGAAAGCCGAGATAAAGCCCCAGAGCAATTGAGCAGAGCTCTGATGGCACCCTGATTTTAGCTTGTAATGGCACTTGGTCATCCCAAGGAAGCTAACATACAAGATGTTTACATTTTTATTTTTTAACTACTTTTTTTTTTTTTTGGCTTTTCAAGACAGGGTTTCTCTGTGTAGTTCTGGCTGTCCTGGAACTCACTCTGTAGACCAGGCTGGCCTCAAACTCAGAAATCCGCCTGCCTTTGCCTCCCGAGTGCTGGGATTAAAGGTGTGAGCCACCACTGCCCGGCCCCAAACCACATTTTTTTTAAAGTAGACATTTCAGTACACAAAAACAACCCGTATGTGACTTAGTCATGTTCAGAAGGCATCCAGGGTAGCTTAGGGTTTACTGACCCATGACTTGGAAAGAGTAAAGGTAGTTCAGGACAGAGCCTGTACTTTAGATTGTGCCTCTGGCAAATAGAAAGGTCATAGCTGGCCAGGACAGACGCTTTAGCCTGAGTTCAGTCTCTAGCAATTGTGAGGCCAAGTTGAGCCAAGAGAAACACCTAGGCTCTCTGTCACATCACTGCCCTTGGAACAGAGTTCTGGAGCTTCCAAATTATCAGAGGACTCTGGCCTCACTAATCCAGACTCACAGTTAATGAGGATGTCGATTTTGCCAAATTCTTTCAGTGCTTGGTCCACAGCAGCCATGACAGCTGGGGGAACTCGGACATCCATAGACAAAGGGAGGCACCGCTTCCCGGTGGCAGCAATCAACTTCTTAGCGGCCTAGACAGCAGAGAGAAAGAGAGTTGGATGGCAGCCTCAGCCCAGAGAAGCAGCCTCAGCCTGGAGTAGCAGCCTCAGTCTGGAGTAGCACACCCATTAAAACTTCATGGGAATAAGTAATCTATGTTACATTAGGACCCCAAGTTTGTTGGGGTACCTGCAAGGGAGACGTAGCTTGAAAATACCCACCTCCTGAGGCCAGACCCCTGGTGGATGTTGGTAAGACATCCTGCATTCTCTATAACCTGTCACCTGTCCCAGGCCCCACCTTCTGCCTATCCTCCAGGCCATTCCCCCTGGACCTAAGTGGCTGAAATGATGGCCTTTAACACTGATGAGCCGACTGAACTATTCTAGAACCAGATGACTTCTAAGACCGTGATCCAATAACCAAACTTCTAAAAAGGTCCAGGGGATCTCTGAAGGTCCACTTCCACTGAGTTCCTCTACGCAAGAAGAAACAGATTTTCTTCTGCTTCTATCCTCTGGGTCTCAGGACTTTCCCCCACAGACTTCTTCTCACCGTGGACACTCTTGGCAGACTCCGGCTGACGATGACAGTGTGGCAGCCATGCCTACAAAACCAGATGGCAGGCTTGAGAAGAAAAGTATAAGGGACACGCCCCAGGGGGCTCCCACCAGGTACTACTACAGAAGGAACTCCCCCAAGTTTCTTAGTTTCTTGGCCTGAGCCAGGAATCAAGACTGAAACATGGCTGGCAATGGACACTGCTGAGTAAGTCTAGATAGACTTCTGGATGCCATGGCTGCCCACCCCTAGGTTTCTGTGATGTGTCTCTGGCTTGAGATACCCTGCCCCAGATACCATGCACATGGCAGAGTGTAGTAGGTTACTGGTGCCAATCCCATATCTGTGCAGGGCCTGCCTGGGGCACTGGAGTGATGGACAAGGAGCCCATTTTGAGAGAGGGAGCCTCCCGGTGACAACAGTGTACATGACCTGCTCCACAGGTTTTCACAGAAGCTGCACTAACTTATCTAGACTTCATGACTCTGAATAGACAGAGCTTTGTTCTACTAGAAGAAACTGCACAAAGCCACCGGCTTTCAATAATAATCTACTACGTGGGCCAATTCCTGTGGGACTTGCGTCCAGCTGTGAGAAGCTGAGTCATGGGGAGGCCTGGAGAAGGGTTCTTCTACCTCCACCTCAGCCCAGTTCTGAGCCTCCACCAGCTTTGCTAGCAAGCTGCTAACCCTCTCAAATAGGCCACAAAACCTATGCCCAAGAGACACTGTTCTCCCACGACAGCAGCACCCCATCAACCTACGAGGCTCTGAGGCTAGTCACACACAGTCTCACTCACTTCTAGGAGACCCCCAAAGGTCCTGCCTTCCCCTCAGGGCAGCATTCAACCATTCCCCAAAATTTACCAAGATCCAGACAAAGGGAGGTAAGATGGCAGTGAGCGTTCTAGAGTAGTGTGTACCTCATGAAAATCTCGGCGATCCGGAAGCCAATCCCAGAACCACCACCTGTGATAAAGGCCACTTTATCCCTTCAAAAACAGGAAAATGTAGTCATTTTTAAAATATATTTATTTGTTTACCAGTGTGAGTGTTTTGCCTGTGTGCCTAGAGAGTTGAGTCCTCATGTGGATGCTGGGGACCAAACCTGGGTCCTCTGCAAGAACAGTAAGTGCTCTGAACTTACTCAGCCATCTCTCTAGTCCCTAGAATCTACTTTAAAACAGTGTTTTAGCTTGATGGTGGATGCATGCCTGTAATTCCAGTCTGTGAGAGGTGGAGGCAGGGGGACTAGAAATTAAAGGACAGATTGGTCTACAGAGAGAGTTCCAGGCAGCCAGGGCTTCACAGAGAAACTCCATCTCGAAAAACTATAGATAGATATTTCACTGTTAACTGAAGTCAATACATAAGTGGCCCTCGGAGACCTTTTACCCCATGAACTTCCACCCAGTGTCATGATAGAAAATATGTTCCCGATGAGCAAGAAACTCAATGGATTTGCTAGACACAAATCCCCAGCCATAAAACTGCAATCTTCAAAGTCGGTTATTTTTAGGCTTCCTAAAAGTTCGGAGGTGAGGGAGAATATTTAGCCTAAAATTTTCTGTGTAATAAGTTACCAAGTGAGACATGTTTTCCAAAGTGAGCAAGCTTCCTCCCTCAGCCTCTCATCCCATCCTCCCAGAACCCCAAGAAACTTCAGATTTATGATTGCCAAGAAACGGGGTACTGAACATCCGTCCTCTGTGCTGTGACACACGACGGCAGATTCGTTTTGACCCCTGTCCCCCAACTCAAGATCGCTCCCTGGTTCCCTGCTTTAGCTCACTGGAGAAGGTCCGGGCAGAAGAGGTGGTGGTATTCAGAAAGACAATCATCCTCCTCAACGTCGGGCGGTTGCTGTGCCATGATTGCTGTGTGCAGTCCGGGGTGGAGAGGTCAGTAGAACCGGGAACGAGATCTACTTTTCCAACGCAATACACAACATTCTGCAGGCTGCTCGCTCCGCCCAGAAGATCCAGGACCAAAGTCCTGCCCCCAAGCCACCTTGCCCACCAGACTCACGGAACAAGGACGCCCCACCCCCAAGGAGGTGCCTCGGCCCTCACGCCTTCCTATCATACACCTTCTTGCGACTCTCAGCTTCCAGCTCTTCTCACTCAACCAGGCGGACACCCCGCCCTTGGTGGCGCGCAGCCTGCTGGGACTACGAATGGGAGGAGGCACTGATGGAGAGGCAGAGGGGTGCTCTGGCCAGTTAAATCCCCAGTTCCTTTCCTAGTTGGTGTCGGTGCAGCCACTTAGTCCATGTACCCAAGCTGGCCAGGCGGCGTGGTATCAGCTGAGAAAGTCGGGACTGCCTCTTGGTCACTCCCTGCCCCACCCCAGTGCAGAAGATCCGGAGCTTGCAAACCCAATAGCTCCCTCTCGTGGCTGACTCGGGTGGAAATCCAGAGTGACCCTCTTGCTGGCTAGCAAGGATCATTGGACTGAAGTTCAAGCAAAGCTGCTCAGGCAGAGGCCAACGCTGAGTCCCATTGTCTAGATGTCAAAAAGTGAAATGACTTGTCAAATTAGCCTCAGAAGCGGTCATGATATATTTACTTCTGTATCAGTGACTCCAGGATCGGGGGTGAGATGTGACTTACATGTATCGATGTGAAAATAAATGGACATCAGGCAGTGGTTGTCAACATGGACCACATCAGGTCAGGCTTGAAGGATGCTCTCTCATGCCTGGGTTGCGTTGTGGGAGAGATGAGAGTAGCCCTTGGAGTGTAAGCCTCAACTGTTCCAACTTCAGGAGACCTGACACACAATACCCACAAAGACGGGTGTGTCCTCCTATTGCAGGCTCACTGGGCCTTGAAGAAGCCTCAGGCCCCATCTATTCTTTGCTGCCAACCTCTCAAACGAATCAGGTGTGCAAGAGCTGTACCAGCACCAGCGAAAGAACTCTGTGTGGATTCTTAATTTCATGGGCCCTGAACTTTTACTGGTTCATATATTTTACCAAAGTCAAGGATCTTCCTTCTAGGGAGTAAAGCTCTGAGCTTCAGGTCTACTGTTTACACATGCGTAAAAGCACTCATTAGAGTGCTTGAGTAAAGCAATTTCCTCCACATATGACATGACCATGGAGCATCATTGCTGTGGTGACCTATAGCCTGGACCTATAGTCGTGCCAATGGAGTAAGAGGAATATGGTGGTAGCTGGGACTAGGGTAGTAATCTAGGCATTATACACTTGCCTTAACTCCTCCCCTAGCACCTCCTACTCCAGGGGTCTTGGGACAGGGATGCTAGGGTATATGGGAGGTAGGTTAACTGAAAGCAGGAGTCCATCAGGCTCGCTGTCACTGTCCATGCTGGGAGGGCGAGCGGGGGGATCTTTCAATGATTCAGCTGTTCTGAGGTCACCCATGCTTCTGTGGCTTATCTTTTATCCATGTTCCCATAAGCCAGTCCAATGAACTCATGGGTTCACCAAATGGGAATGGTTGAATTGTTACTCTGGTCTGTTATTGGTGCCCTACAGGGGGTGGGTGGGGGGGTGAACAAGCGTTTGTTCATATCTCCCAGAAAAAGGTCACACAATGCTGAGATAGGGGAAAGAGTAAGTAGACCATTTCCATTTTAAGCATAAAATTTTAATGTCTCTCCTTTGAGGCAGGCGAAGTCACCTTTGGCAATGCCCCAAAGGTTGTCTGGCACTTTTGTATACAAGGATATGGTCCAATATTGTGCTGGCTTAGGGTACAAAAAGGCACATAAAGTTGAGACTTAGACTCCCCTGGGTTGGAGCTGGACAGAGAGGGAATAGGGCATGGTTTGGGGACATGGGAAGCATGTGGATTTGAGTTCTTGTTGACAGAGGTAGTTGGTCACGGATAGGCCCTGAAGTGCAGAAGGCAGTACAAACCCTCAGGCAGGGTAGCAGCTGCTATGGTGACCACCATCTGCCCAGTTCAACAGTTCGCTGCTCTGAAACCATAGCTCGATCTCTCTCTGGGCCCCGTCCACAGAATCGCTAGCATGGATGACATTCCTGTGAGAGGTGGGAAAGGTGAAGTCCGTGTCTCGGGGACAGGGGCCTCAGGGATAACTTGCCTCTAGCCTACTGCCCTCTGTCAGGGGAACAAGGTGACTGTATAGAAGAGAAAGGGATTTTGGAGCTGGTTACAGTGCTACAATCCTGTAACAACCAGCTCTGAAGAAACTGAGACTGCAGGATTGCCTTGAGTTCATGGCCAGTCTGGATTAGAGAGGGAGACCCTGTCTCAGAAAGGAAGAGCGGGGCTGGACAGATAGCACAGCAGTTAAGAGCACATCCTGCTCTTGCAGAGAACCTGACCTTGGTTCCCAGCACCCAAATATGGTGGCTCACAACTACCTGTAATTCTAGCTCCGGGCATCTAACGCCCTCTTCTGGCTTCCACAGACACTACAGGCATATGCACACACACAGTTAAAAATGAAATAAAAATAATAAAAGGGAGACCAGAGCTAGAGATGAAACTCAGTTGGCAGAGTGTGCTTGCTTGCCTAGCATGCACAACCCCTGAATTTGATCCCTAGCGCCGTAATCCAGTACTTGGGAGGTAGAGACAGGGATAATACAAACTCGTGGCCGTGCTCAGCAACCTAACCAGTTTGAGACCAGCCCAGATTACGTTCGCTCCTATCTGAGAAAACTGAAGGGAGAGAGGAAAGGATGTGTAGTAACAGGGGCTGGACATTTGCATCTCTCTTGGCCTCAGTTTCTTCCAAGCTCAGAGGCCAGCCTATACACCAACTTCTGAGAGCTGCCTCTCACTACCAGTTATCAGAGACGCCCCTCATGGTTGGTGACCAAAACAGAATACTAAGCCAGGAAAAAGTGATTTCAGTCAGGCATGGAAGCCTACAGTAAGCTCAACGCTCAGGCAGTAGAGGCATGAGGATAAGAAGTTCAAGACAGGGGCTGGAGAGATGGCTCAGTGGTTAAGAGTACTGGCTGCTCTTCCAGAGGTCCTGAATTCAATTCCCAGCAACCACATGGTGGCTCACAACCATCTGTAACAGGATCTGATGCCCTCTTCTGGTGTGTCTGAAGAAAACTACAATGTACTTATATAAGTAAAATAAATAAATCTTTTAAAACAAAAAAAGTTCAAGACAGCCTGAACTACACAATAAGCTCAGAGCCAGTCTGGCCTACCTGAGAACGTATCTCCAAAAAAAAAAAAGGCTTTTCTTTCATTCCAGCAAGATACCCACTTCTCAAGAATCAATCTCTCTCTCTCTCTCTCTCTTTCTCTCTCTTCTCCTTTTTGAGACAGGGTTTCTCTGTGAAGCCCTGGCTGTCCTGGAACTCCCTCTGTGACCAGGCTGGCCTCGATCTCACAGAGATCCGGTTGCCTCTGCCTCCTGAGTGCTGGGATTAAAGGCATGTGTTACCACCTGACTAATACTGACCTTCTTTACCCCACATTGGGAGACTCAGGGTATCAGGCCTCCATACCTGCTGATGTGAACACTGAAGTCGCCCCTGATTGTCCCGGGGGCTGCCTCTGTTGAGTCGGTGTGTCCTATCATGGCCCTTGAGATGTGGACCACATTGTGGCCTTCCCAGACCTGCAGCACAGATATGGAGGTTCGAGAGAAGTTGGGGACCTCAGGTGACCTGGGCTCAATCCAAGCCCTTTACTTTGCTTGGGGGAGGACACCCCAAGTACCCTTTCCATTGCCCCTGCCCTGCTGTACCATGGCCACCACAGGCCCAGAGCTCATGTAACTGATGAGGGCTGGGTAGAACGGCTTTCTCTGTAGGTCTCGGTAGTGCTCAGCAAGGATGCTCTCTGGTGCCTGTGTGGAAAGAGGGGTTATACCAACCCTTGGAGAGCTGGACCCTAATTGGTGTCCTGAGTTTGGGGCACCTTTCAGACACAGAAGCTAACTCCACAATGGTTACCTCCCAACCCTTGCAACTGCCAGTGCTAGGAGACTTTAGGGACACCACAGCCCAAGGGCGAGTACCTGCAACATCTTCATCCCCACCAGCTTGAAACCCCGCCTCTCAAAGCGTTGTATCACAGTCCCCACTAGCCTCCGCTGTACCCCATCGGGCTTCACAGCAACCAGGGTCCGCTCTTGGGGCCAGGGGGGCCCTCCTGTAAAAAAAAAGGACAGGTCAGGGTTGAGGATGGTCCATATTTTCAGGTCTCTCCCACCTAGACTCCTGACGGAGCTCAGACATCACAGGACTGGAAAGTGCCTGCCACAGTACACAGACAAATGGAAACGGAAGCTGCCCTGGCAGTAGCAGAAGCTGCCCAAGGTGGAGATGGTTCCCTGAAAAGGCTCAGGTAACTTAAGGGTCAGAGAGGCTTGGTGATGATGCCCCTCTCCTCTAAAAAGAAAATTTGAGTCTAGCCTCACATGACTCCAGGTATCACTGTGTGAACCCCAGGCCTGCTTGCAAGGAGTGGAGAAACAGCATTGAAATCAAGGAGTATTATTAGTGTAGGGTGTCTAGGCGGGCTGAGGGCTGGGGACCAAGGAATAGGGCTTAATACGGTCGGGGAGAGAGGACGATTCACGCTGTAGGATAGAACATAGCTGCCAGGGGTTCAGGCTGCCCCTCAGGACACTTACGGGAGTCTGCAGTTGTCCTCGAGCTCCTGCTATAGCCAGGGCATTGAATGTTTCTTCCAAGACCAAATGCTACTTCTGAGAGGGACCTAGCCCCTGACTGTCTCACAAAAATGGACCAAAGTTAGGAGAAACACAAGTTAGAGAGGAGGGATCAGTCTCTATCCTCAGGCCACAATGGAGGCCCACTAAACTCAACAGGCTGAAAACAAAAAGGGTGGGGGTGGTGTCTCCGGAACTTGCAAGTTCCCCAAGTGACAGGAGACCCAGGGTAGCCCCAGACCGCTGATGCCTAATGGTGCCTTAGTGAGACTATTCATTTTCCAGGGTTCATGAAAGGAATACTGATTATCTGGCTCTCAGAAAGCGCCCCATGAATGGATAGCAAGGGCCGAGACCCCAGGAAATGGCCGGGCTGTCTTAGGCCTGCTCTGGCTCAGGTATTTCAATACCCTGGCAATAACCGTTCCATAGAGAGAACGTGGCCCCATAACTTTAGGAGCCACGCGTCTGCGTCTCCCCGCATAGGCTTTGGCTTTCTTC